TCGGCAGAGCCAGCCCTCAGCCAGGGTTTGCTTCCCTGCACCCTGGGCTGAACTTCACACACACAGCCCCCCTCGCGCCAGCCGATGCCGACCTCGTTTATTTAAGTCATGGCCCAGTGGCAGGGCCTAAACGCCCGGAAGCCTGCAGTTGGGGTCTTTCAGTGTTATGGGTCAACTCACTGACACTCACAAGGTGTGGTGTGACTCTTTACGAGCCTTTTTTGGAAGGACACTTAATTTTTTCTTAGCAATTTAGTAATATTTTATAGCCCGTCCCCAAATCAGGTCTTATCTGAATCTTATTTCAGCTTCAGACTAAACTCTTTATTGCTTGCATTAGTAAAAGAGACAATATGCACAGAGCAGAGTGGATATAAGTCATTGTCCTCCTCCTCGTGTGTCTTGATAGGATGAAGAGAGAGCTCCTCGGGAGGGTCCTGGGGTTACACAGTCCTAACAAAGCAGAAGTGGGAGACAATAATATAAATTCCTGTGATACTGCATTTAACCCGTTTTCATTTGGTTCCTGGAGGAAACGACGCATAAGTTACTGCCTTCGCTACCCTCCAGCCCATTCTGATACCTTGCAAATCCATTTTGATAGCAAGACGTATATCAAAGCTGGTATCTAATAGTAAGTACCTATAAGTTTAGAGAAAAATCATCAATTGGTTAGAGCAGAGAGATGCAAATAAGTGTTTCTCTGCAGGAAAGGCTGCAGTGTGAGCTCAACAGTTATTTGTTTTCTCTGGCCTGCTGGCTGGCCACTCGGCTCACGTTGTCTGACCAAGCTGCATGGAATTGTCTGTAGCACAGAGCTGTCTCTTATTTCCAACCTGCATTTATTCATGGCCAGTTCATCCCTTTTTGTTCTTGTGCCAATTTTTGCTGTTAGCATAAACAGCTCTTTTCTCGCCCTGTTTTTTTAATAGATAGTGACTTTGTCTCTCTCAGCCTTCATTTTACTCAACTAAGCATAGGCCGGGCTCGCCCTTCCCTTCAACCTCCTCGGGGCCCTCCCCTGCACCTTTTGCATCGCAGTTTCTTGTGTTTCTCTCTGAATGCCTTTCATAGCAGTGTACAATGCACAGAAAAAAAAAAAAATCCTGTAAGTGGTCTGATGAACATCTTTTCTGATTAAAAAGAGGGGAAAAGGATTTACTAACCTCCCTTCTCTAGACAGTAAGTTTCTGAAATTTGTCTTCCCCCATCTTTATTGTATCAATGGTCTGAAGATACTTTTGCAGAACCCAACCTCTGGCCAGAGCTCGTAACTCTCCAGTCAAATCCAGCTGAGCTGTGCCATGTAAGCACTCAGTGGTTATCTAAAGAAATCCTAAATTCGTTGATTGAGCACTGCAGCAAGTACCTTCGGGGACAAGGGCTGGGAAAGGATCCGTAGGGATGCTTGTAACAACAGGAATAGACAGAACAGCCACTCACGTTGGTCTGCAGAGATCAGTCGACATCAGCCATGTCAGAAATTCCTGGTTCAAAACATCCTTCAAACTTTCTGTACCTTCCAGAGAAGTCAAACTGCAAGAAATGTGCCATGCCACAAAGACAGAGGAGAGGCAACCGTCCAGATGCAGTATATCACAGCGTCTTGTCCCAATCCCCTCAAGTTCACAGGGATATTTTATTTTCCTCGTCTTCTATTATCTTTGACTCAGATAAACCCACAAAAAGCTTTAACCTCTTTTTGATGTGGTGAGCTCCTTGCACACAACAGTGCCTTGATCTTGGCATGTTTGGGCTGCCCAGCAGTGAACATGTCTGTCAGGCTTGGGGGATGAGAAGGAACAGTGCGGTGACCCCCCCCTGCACCCCACCTCCTCTTAGACCCGGCAGGCATCAAAACAAAGGCAGAGCGTGGGTGCAGCAGCATCTACGCTCCAAACTCACAAAGGAAAGTCTTTGTTTGCAAGAAGGACTTTCCCCTGCAAGTTGCATTTTTTATTTGCAATTAAGGAGATTAAGGGAGACACCAGAAAACATTTTTTTTTTTTTAAATGAACCTAATCAAGCTCATTAATCTCTAGCATCAAAGGTTTCCCTTCCCCCGTCCACCCCCTGCCCCAGAACAGGTTAGACAAACATCTGTCAGGAACAGTTTAGAGCGCGTTGATCCTGCTTTAGAGCAGAGGTCAGACTAAATGACCTCTTGAGATCCCTCAAAGCCCTCGTTTCTTTGATTTTGTATTTTCGGTATGACTAGCAATTCTCAGTGTCTGATTTTCTGAGCGCTTGGCCTGAGACACCTCTGTGAACCACAACTGTGCTCGTTTCCCCCACCCTGGGCCAGCCCCCGCACCCTGATTTCTAAAGCAGTTTTCACGCAAAGGCTGTAAAAGACAACAAATGCCCCCAGATTCTTGTTCTGGGTGACTATCCCATGACTCCTGGTAGTTAGAAATTCTTTTTTTTTTTTTTGCCAGAAGACACTAGGATTGCGCCTGAAGGATGTGGGCTGTGTGCGGTAAGTGCTTTTTTTTTTCCTTCTTGCCACCATTTTAGGACTAAGCAGCAGCAACCTGTTAGGTTTTGTAAAATCCCCTTCATGTTAAAGAAAGGAAATCTATCCCTCATTCATTGGTGGTTTTTTTTTAAATATAGAAAGTGCCTGAGAACAGACTTTTTTTTTTTTTCGTTTGGACTCATGTGTCTAATTTGCTTTTTGAACATTTGTGACATAAGCTAAGATTGGGGGAGGTGAAACAGGCTAGTGACAGGCTGTGGATATGCTGACACAGCACAAAGCGGCGCAGCGCTGCGATACACGAGTGTGCTCTCAGCCAGATGGCTTGGGAAACGCAGGGACGAGCTGTGGCAGAGAGAGCTCCGTATGGACTCGGTTACCTTGCCCAGAGGTACCTGTTCCCAGCGAGCTCGTATCACCGTCATTACCGCGATCATGATGATTTTAAGATGATTACGTCTTAAAAAAAAATAAAAAAATCTGTGCCCTTACCGGGGACACTCAGATCAGAAACAAACTGGGAAATTCCTCCTGGGTCAGGCAGGCATCTCTCTCTCCTGCATGGTTTCACGTTTAGATGACATAATAAGAGCTTTTCATAATAAAAGCTTGCAGCAGTGACACAAGGAAAGGACTGTTTTGTTTCTTTTTTGAAAAACGAACTGGTCAACATGCTGTGAGTGTGAAGGAATGGGTTTTGTTTGATTGTGTTTTTTTTTCCCTTGGGGGTTGATTTGATCAAATCAAAATGTTTTGCAGAAATGTATCAATTTCATCTCGTTTTCACTGGAGAGTTTTCTTTTGAGAAGGCTTTGTTTTGATTAGGTTGAAGCACTTCGTTTTGACTTCTCTGTTACGGTGATGTTAGGATGTTAGAGGAGCGGATACGCTTCAGCCCTGTCAAAAGTCCATGCTTTGACCTGATCAAAGTGCTGGGTTTTGATGGGGCTGTGCTGACATTTGCAATACAAAAGAAGACCCTAATCTTTTTTCTTTTTTTTTTTTTTTTAAATTCGTATTTTGTGAGAAATTTCAAAATTAGGTTATTTGGGGAGGGGGTGTGGGTGTGACTTTGTTCTTTTCCTCACTCATGAGGTAGAATTGCAAAATGTGAAATTTCCTTTTGAAATCAAAATCCTCTCATTTTCCTATGTGACACCATTACCATCGATACCCGCCCCAAAACACTCCTTCAAAAGTTAAAACACTTGGAAACCTCATCCCTCCCTGCGACCAGATGTTCTCCGATCTCACCTCTGATTTTTCTTGGCTTTCAGAAGCCAGGCGAAGAAATCTTTGGCTTCCTGAGTGCCCAGGTCCAACTTTTGGCCATTCACAGCGGCTACTTGGGGCTCGGCTTCCCTCTTGTATGGCTCGATGATGTTGCTGGGAAGGCGAAATGGGGAGATACCAGGCTGAGATGCCACAAGAGGGTGACAAAATGCTGCTTTTCCACCAACCCCAGCTCCCTCCCGCCCCATCCACCAGCGGCCAGAGAAGGCGGCGGTCTTGGCCAGGGAGAGGGATCCTTGTGCTGTGTGCCGACAGACCAGAAACATTTCTAGGACTTAGAAAAATAACAGAAAAAAAGAAAACCAACTCCCTAGAGAATCACTGCTGCACTCCAAGAAAAATACCCTTGGCTCTACATTCTTCTGCAGTCATCGGTTGGCTGCCGACAGCCGTAAGTTTGGATCGTAGGAGCATCGCAAGTCTACGCACTTACTCGCTTTTCTTCTCCCGTCTGGCTAGCAACCATTCCACAAAGTTCTTCTTCAGCATGTTGTCCATCGTGCGGCTGTAATCGCTTGCCAGGGTGGCCTCAGAGTAGCGTCTTTGCACTGGTTTGGCACTGGGAGTCCTTAAACTTACGCTGGGGTAAGAGCACAGAGACAGAGTGAGTCCTTGCACACACCGGGAGCACATGCGACACGGAGTTTTGCTGGGCTTACATGTGGTGGCTCATGCGGTCCCTACAGTCAGCAAGGTTTTGGGATCACTTTTAATCGCTTTTGGTACAGGTGACCATTCCTGCACCGAGAAGGGACTAGCACGCTCCTCATCCGTTTTGCTGGCTGCTAAAGCGATTGCAGCTCAGATTTGACGACTGGGGAGGAGACGAGCTCTGGATATTTGCTGATAGTCTGGAGTCACCGTGGTTTGCCCTGCCATAGCCTGATTCACATGGACTTTGGCTCCGAGCTAAGGCACCGAGCGTGCTCGGGCTCCCTCCTCCAGTGAGCCGCACACCTAAGGACAAGGAAACCTTTTCCTGCATCCTCGAGAGGCTCGGGGACGGATGGCAGGAGACGAGGGCTGACCTTGAGACCTGTGCTGATCTGACAGCGTAGACACAGTTGGTGGCTACCTAAGTTAGCAAAGGATTTCGAGGCTGGTCCTTTTTTAGTACTACCATCTGGGATTGCAGCAACTCCTGTTGCTCTCATAAGGGTACTTTTGGATCTGCTGGGGTGGTAGTTGGAAATTTTGTAGCAGGAGTCAGAGAAAGAGAGGGAGAGTCTTTATTATATACCTGCTTTACGTAACTGATCATATTTTCAGAAGCTTCCAAATACTGGATGCCCCCTAGCCTCATTCATGTGAGATGATTACACCTTGTTTCTAGTTCTCAGCCAAACTCCTTCTCTTCCTGGTTGACTTCCAGCTTGTTCCTCCTAACCCAGAGCCATGAAGTTTGAAGGGAAAACTTGGGAGTTCCTGGCTCTGGCTCAAAGGTTCAGGGCTTTGGTTTGATACCTCTCTTATCGTTTGCACATCTCTGTATGCTTGGCTGTCTCTGTTATCTGAGATCTACCTCAGGACTCTTGTTCTCACCTACTCACCAAGATGCCAATGAAAAGAGTCCATTTGCCTCCAGTGCGTACCTGGAAAAGGCTCAAAATACACTGTGAGCTTTCCAAAACACTTACCCCGAGACGTTCTCTTCCATCAAAACAAAGCCCAGAGAAGCGAGGAGCAGAGAGAGAACTTTGAAAGACATCATTTTCTTGGCTGGTTTCTCTGTTCAAAAAGCAGAGGGCAATCCAGATGTCCAGCCCCTATAACACATGGGACACATAAGTGACAGGACAGTGAACCCAAAGGGATGTGCGGTGGCTGGGCACGTGCCTGTGCTTGTAAATGTGTTTCTTCAGTCCTTGTGCTTCGGGCAGCCTTCTCCATCCTACAAAGCCCTCTTCTGCCGTCCCCAATTAAATTACTTTTTCAATGCCAATGCGCTTTCCCACCGTGGTCTCTTTTAATGTTGGTTCCCGATACTTTTATTGTAACCATCAAATTCATTGTGGGTTGCGCATTCCTGGAGGCAAGGGCTTTGTCTTCCACCATGTTTACAAGCTGACCCTGTGGGTACCTCATTGTGCGCTAAGGGTCGATTCAGTCTGGAGTATGTGAACGGGAGCGTACGTTGGATCGGGCGATCCCGTAGCAATGGCATCCTGCTCATCCCACACTGCGGTTCTGCAGGATTTAGGAGCCTGATCTAATTTCTGGGAGATTTTCTGTTGGGATGGATAATGCTTTATGTGGGGACTGGAGCCAGGGTCAGTGGATATCAGTTATGAAAAATATCCTAGGGATGGTGACAGGATCAGATTCCAAGATTTATTAGTTTCAAGCTGTTCCTAGTCCTCACGTCCGCAGTTCGGCTGAACAGCCCTCGGACATTTGAGCTCTTTTAATTACTATTCCAGCTCTGCAAACTCTGTACAAAAATGGTTTTGATCATGGCTCACAGATATATTTTGTTGTCCCTCACCTCACTCTTTGTTATAACTATTTCTGGAAACTGCATTGCAAGGGCGAGATGCTGTTAACAGGAATAATACAGTAACAACAACAAGAAGGTCTAGATCAGGACTCAAGTATCCCATCCTTCAAAAATTTATTCATACATTGATAGAACTTTCCTCCTCTAAGTAGCTATTTGTACTCTTACAACAGCCCACTTACTGTTTTGGAGAGAGCGAGAATTTGCATGTGTGGATGTTGTTCGTAATTGTGGCATTTTTTTAACGTCTGGAAAATTGTGACATCTTTTACAAATGTTTTCATCCCTTCCTATTAAGTGAGAAAAGTGCGAAATATGTTACGTTATCTCAGACACATCAAGTTCCGAGGAACGCTCTTAAAAGCAAAGGTGTAATATTCCGAACACTGGCAAAATCCCTAAAATACTTAGAGCTAAAGCAGCAATACAAGACAAATAGTTACAGTGTGTTAACAGCAGAAGTAAATTCCATTATACAAAAAGCTGAGGAGTGTTTTAAATGAGAATGGAGAAAACCGTCATGATTAAATAACTGAGGTGTTCCCTCTTATTTGCTTTTCATTTCATATATTGGCGATATAACTGTGGGTACGATAATGGATCCGAAAATAGCTAAATTGTGCAAGAATATTGTTCTGCTTAGGGTAATTATTTATGATGCTAGGAAAGGAAATGCACTGTAGCCCCAATTTTAAGAAAGGGCAGTATTCCTTCTCTGCAGAATTTACTGAAGCAGGAAGGAAAAGCAGTCCATGTTTTCAGAGACTGTTGAAAAACCATTTTTTAATTAATACAGGAAGCCTTTGCCTGCGTGGCACTGAACTGGAATAGTCGAGCTCCGCTAGCCCCGACTGGCACAGAGGTTGCTGTGACACCTACCCGGTTTTGATCCTGTGATTCGACTTCTTCGCAAAAGGAGGAGCAACTGGTAGGATCTTTGCAACATGAGGGTCTTCCAGTCCCCTGTGCAATACTGTCTGCTTTGGAAGAAGCATTGTCCCTGTTTTGTCCATAGCTAGGAGATCCCCAAAAGCAACTAAGAACCAGTTTCTCCTCATTTCCCTTTGTAGGTGCAGATCCCAACCTGATATTTGCCATGTGCTGAAAATCCTCCTCTGAAATAACAGTCTTTCCCTTTACAACCCAACACGTACGCTGCTGTGGGTCTTTTCTGCCGAAGCTGCCGAGAAAAGGGCCAGTCTTGTACCACTTTGGGAAAAACTCAGCCAAAGGTATGGGCTGCTCCTGCTCTGCTACGGCTACTGCCTGACCCTCTCAAACACCCATCACTCCCACTGTTATCTTAGGGGGGGAAAAAAAAAAAAAAGTTAAAAAACATTAAAAAGAGAGACTGACATAGAGCTTCTTACCTTTCTCCCTCTTTGAAGCTGCCCAAAGGATTTCAGTTAATTCTGGTGCTGAGGAGACCCTCCAGGGCTTTTATATATGTTAGCTGTGCAGGACCAAACCCCCTTCCATGAGGTAAACAGGAAATCAAACACCTAAGCAAAGCAATTCAAACCCACTCAGAGCTGCTTCATTGGGTCCATTGACCTACAGAGCAGGAAAATAACCTTTTAAAATGTGTTTACATTAATAGCAATTAAACATTACTATATCACGAAATCAAGAATGAACATGGATTGTGGGCATAATACATGTGGTGTTGGTCTAAACCTTAATTCCACATAGCACTTCCTTCCATGGTAAAAACTTCCTTAATTTCCATCTTTTCTTTTGCCAAGTTTAAGTGCTGGCTTAGAGAGATCCACTCTGCTCCTTCTCTTTCTTACAGGAGGAATAACTTTGCTAAAATCTATAGCTCTCATCATCGTTATTTTTTGTCACCATCAAGTCTGGGCATCCCAGCCGTGGTCTAGCAACCTCTTGTGCAAACCCCAAATACTGAAAACAGCATCTGTCCCCCAAAACGTGCACTCTTAAGAGGAGAAAACTTGGGATGGAGAGTGGCAGACAGGAAACCAGTAGGAAATGGTGAGGCAGCATTGGTTAACGAGGTGAAGGGTGGTGGCACAGCAACCACCCATGTGGGCTGAGGGGTAGCAGCTGGACCTGAGCACCCATTTGGGCTTTTTCTCTCCTGAGCGAGTGATGAAGTGTTTCCCTGTGGCTCTGCAGCTGCTGGGGACACAGGTCAGTGAGGCCACAACCTCACCCTGCCCTTGCACAGCTGGATCCAGGAGAGCAGATGTTCTGCAGATGTTAATTGTGCCATCAGAGCACAAGGGGTAAATCCATTTCCCATCAGCTCTGCTGCAGCCCTGTGCCTGGTAAGACATTCTCCCCAGTGCCTGCCCTGCCCTGCTTCCTCTGAGTCTCTCTGGGAGAACTGGACCCATTACATTTTAACAGGTAAATCCTGTTTAGGGGCTGCTACCAGGTGTGTACCTGCTGCTCTAGGATCCCTGTCACACCCAGCTTCAATCTGTTGAAGGAGCAGAGCAGGATTATGTTTGCGCCAGCCTAACCCCCAAGCTGAGGTCTGCTCACATCGTTACCGAAGTGAAGCAGTGCCCGTGGCTGGCTGTGCTGGCTTGCAGAGCACAGCCCCATCCGCAGCTCGGTCCCCCCCCAGCAGCCTGAACTTTTGCAGGAGGTTATCCAAGTTACAACCTTCCCCTCGGGTCTGCCAGCCTGTTTTGGTTGTATTTTTTTTGTGGTGTTCAGCAGAGCTTCTCGGAGCAGCAGCCCCGCACACCTGGAGGTAGGAGGGATGTGCGCGTATGTGTGTATCCTCCCAGGTTTGTGCTGGCTCAGCTACATCAGGGATTTGTGTGGGAAAGAAGTTGGATCTCTGGTTGACAGGGCTGAGCAAGAAGCAGCCCTTAATGGAATTGCAGTAATAATGGCAAAATTGAAGTGGTGGTGGCTTCGGCGTGGGAGAGGGTTTTGCTGTGCCGGCACAGTGCCCCCAGCGTATCTTGTCCCAAACATGGGCAGAAATCCAGTCTGGTGAGGTACGTGTCTCCACGTAAAGGCTATCCATTTTGCAGTTCCTTTCTAAAAAGTGTTTTTCTTGCTCTTCTGAGAAGTGCTGCTGGGACAGAGCATCAGATACCGGCTGGTTTCAACCACTACCTGTACCTCTGCTCCAGGAGACCGTGGAGCGCAGAATGGACCCCATCCAGCTTACCCCGGCGCTGGCAGAGGTGAGCTCTTGCTGCTCTCTAGTTATACAACTCCCCGGTACAGCCAGCCTCTCCAGCAAGAAGTGTTGCATCTATATTGCATTAAGGTAAAGGCTCCGAAAGACATTGTTAGTGTAGATTAAGGGTTCAGTGCTATTAGGGAGTAATTACTACTTTCACAGGAACTACTTAACACGTGGCTTAGTCCTTTAGCTAGCAGCACACAAGCACGCCACGGTCTCCAAAAGCTTTTCAGCCATGCAGGAGCGTCG